AGGTCAATACTCCTGCTCTCAACTGAGCCTTGTACCTTCCAGGTCATATATGTATACCCTCTGTTTTACATTTTCCAGAATCTTCTGCTGAGGCCAGGAAGGGTATTTACTGGGTTATGATGAATAGGGTGAGGGACCTGGTAGTTTTAACTGCCTCTTAAATAGATTTTTCAACCAGTCATTAATTTTTAACTGCATTTCACCACTGCTTTCAGAGAAATTATGCTGCCGGTTTTGGACCCTTTGGAGGAAGGGGTGTGACTGTTGTTAAGGGGAAGGGGGTGGAAGCTATAATTTGGGTTTGTAATTTTGTGCTGTAATTGGATTGTCTCTTAGCTTTCTCCACTACTTGCTTTAGGATTCAGTTTTCTGAGATCACCAAACCAGTTACCATTCACCTCCTTTAGCTTTCAAAATTTTGATGCAATTTCTTCAATTATATTCTTTGTGTTTGAGGGGCTTGGGCTTTTAAAAAATCACTATCACTTCATCTTTAAACAGAACATACTTTCAGATTTACTATCTAAATAGGCTAGTCCTTGCTGCAAGGTGTAGAGAACCAGAAACAGAACTCTCCTCTGACATTCAAAGGGAAAGAGGATAGATGTTAAATTTTTAGCAGAGGAACATGGAAAGAGACTTTCTTTATTCAAGAAACACAATTAATTATCCGTGCCACATTCTGTTCCTGGCTCTGGGATGTGGGGGTCTGAAGAAGGGAGACACGGTTTGGGTCCTCCTCTCTCTTCATCACACCATCTGACTTTAGTTGTAATATCTTATTTCATGTAGAAATGCCCCTTTCAAAGGGGGCACAGGACACACGGTCCAGTGCTGGTTATAGAAGGTCCCCTATTGCCTATGTTTCTGTGGCTAGAGTGCAAGAAAAGTGGGATGAATTATGGTGAGAATGGCCTAAACTGTGGAGCCTGGTGTTTTTAATTATGGTGCTAAGTTATGGGGACCCCAAGAGTTTCCTGGGTACATTAGAGGGGCAGGTGCAGTCGCAGTTTCAGAAATATGTTTCACTGTGAGATCTCAGAAATGAGATCTCAGAAATGAGATCTCACAGTGAGTGAGAGACAGCAGCCAGGCAGAAGAGACCATCATCTTGGCAGGACAAGCCTGGATGGGAGCAGAGACCAGGTACCCCCAGATAAAGTGAGGCCGTAGAGGCACAGATGGTGGAAAGAACTCCGCCTTGAATGACAGGCGATTGCCTTGGAATCTTTGCTGCTTCCTGCTTCTCCCCTTCACCTGTTTTTCGGATGGCATTTGGACACTCTTGCTTGAGTCACCATTCTCTGAGATACTTGCATGGCTTTGCCATCAATTACAGTAATGGATATTTTGCTCCAGTCACGGTAGCCTTTGGGCCACAGAACGATAGTCCTTGGAGAGTCAATGAAATCGAGCCCCAGAAGAGTATTCAGTGGGACTGACCTAACAGACCATGCTTCCTGCTGCAGAAGGGTAATAGCTTGTGGACACTGACTTATCCATCCAGCTGTTTGTTTATGCATACCTGTGCAGACACACAGTTGTGTGCATATACTGTGTGTGCATATGTACTTTTTAAAGAAAGAATATTTCCACTACTTTAATAAATGGCAAATAGGCAATAGAGAATTATTCTTATCTCTAATATGTTCGCTAGGACTTAAACCAGAATAACTTCGGTGGAAATCGTTGAGAAGAAAAGAATGTACTTTTTTGAATTCTACTCCTTTCTTTTACAGTTGACAGTATATCTGTCAGCTTTAACAAAAGTTAACAAAGCTACCCAGGGCAGAGCCCTAATCTTGCTGCTTATCTAGAAGTCTCAGATGTAATTAGAGGCTTAACAGGAAAATTCTGATCTTATAGGTATATACATATGTATGTGAAGAGTCATATAAATATGTTAAATCTTTCACTCTGATATGTTATGTCACACTAATTTATAATAAAATATGTATTATTCTCCTCTGCCTCCCTCTTCCTACTTTCCCTTTTATTATTATTATTGTTGTTGTTGTTATTATTATTATTAAAAAAGGAATTAAGGAAAATATAGCCTGAGCCACTTGTAGCTCATTTCTTTAAACAGTTTTTTCATTTTCTTCTCTGTGTAGTGATACTTTTCTAAATTAACTTAAATTAGTAAATGTGCAATTAGGATGAATATCATCTTTTAGAATTGGTTCATTTTAAAATATAGAGGCATATGCTAGTCATATATAGTAGATTTTAATTTTGAACTACCGCTATACTTATTTTTTAACATTAAGGTCTTCTAATGTTTCTTACTTATTTCAAGCTGAAATCTAGATTTCATAATTAGTGGTTTTTGAATTTCTCTTACATGTTTCTCTTCATCTATTTATCACTGTGAAAACAGTCCTGCACTGAGTTGTATCCTTCTCCTGCACTTTACATTTTCTGTCTGATCCTTACTGTTTTGAGCTGTTGAAGATGAGAAATGGTAGAGTAAGTTAGAAAGTGGCCTTTTGTTTGGAGCAGCAATGTAATTCAGAACATCCCCATGGCCAGTTATGTGATGCTGGACAAAGTATATAACCTCTTTCTTTCGACACCCACCTTCCACATTGCTCTGTGCCCCTAATACAGTTTATTGAATCTTGATTGGCAAAGTTGTGTTTACATTATTAAAACCGATGCTCCTCAGAGCTAAGCCACGTAATATACTCCGATTATTTTTTTCATCATTGTATGACTCTGATTTCTTTGGAGTCAATCATTATCTCTCCAACCTCCTTCGTTGGCTTTGTTTTCAATGTACTTATTATAAATTCACCCCCATATTCTTCCAGTTGTTTAAATTGGTTTTCAGTGTGTTTATTTCCATCTTCTACCAGTTTCATCTTCTTAGAGACATCTCTCCCAGGGCCTTCTAATCTGCTCCAGCCTGCTCTGGCTGTTGGCCTGTTTCCCAGCCTAGGATGTTTTTTTACTATCATCAGGGAATTTCCTCCTCTTCCTCCTTATCTTAGATACCCTTTCTGATTCTGTTTTCTGCTGTCTTGGTTTATACTTTAGTTTTGATGGAGCTCATCAACCTCCCTTAGTTTTCTGAGAAAGGGCGAATAAAGATAAATATTTTGAAACTTTGCCAGTCAGAAAATGTAAAGTCTTTTTATTTTATCCTTAATTTAGTAGTTTATTTGGTTCTAAGGATTCTTATCTGGAATTCAGTTTACTTCAGCATTGCTGAAGGCATTGCTTCATTATCATCTGGTTTCTGTGGTTGGGTTTTATGAAATGTGAAAACATTTTCTGCTTCCAAATCTTTTTTCTGTGGCTTATTTTTCCTTTTCTCAGGAAACTTATTGATACTTTTTCCTAGTGCTCTGATTTCATGATTAATGAATGCATCTTGTGTGGGTTTATTTTCATCCATTGTGCTGATATTCAAGGGACTGTTTCATCTGAAAACCATTCCTTCATTTTGAGAAATAGTCTTGAATTATTTAATTGATGAGACTTCCTTTTATTTTTTCTGTTTTCCCTTTCTGGAGGTCCTATTATTCAGATGGTGGATCTCCTGGTCTTGTTCTCTAAAATTATTATGTTTTTTTCTCTAATTTTTCCATCAGTCATTTTGCCTATTTGCTTAACTCCCTGAGAGTTTTCCGCAACTTTATTTTCCAACACTTCTATTGAGTTTTTCAATTTTGCTGTCATGTCACTAATTTTTAAGAGCTCTTTCTTGTTTGCTAAGTGTTCTGTGTTTTTTGTTTTTGTTTTGTGGTTTCCTGTTCTAGTCATTGCTATGAGGCAAACCACCCCAACATAGTGGCTTAAAAATTTCCATTTTAGTTTTTGCTCACACATTCTGTGGATCAGGAATTCAGATAAGACTTGAGTAAGCAGGAGGTGAAGTCATCTGGTACCTTCTTCTCTCACATATCTGGCACCTGGGCTGGGGTGAATTGAAGACTGGGTTCAACTGGGACTGTTGACTTGGGTACCTATTCATGCCTTATCACTGTGGCTTCCTATAGCATGGAAGCTCTTTCTTAAAGGGGCCTTCAATTGAAAGGTGCTTTCAATTCTAAATTTTTAAAAAAATAATTTCTCTATTGAAATTATCAATTTGGTTAAATTTTATTTTCGTATGTTTAGTTTTTTAGTTCTTTGAACATATTTATAATAGCTGACTAAAAGTCTTCATTAAGTATAATGTCTGGGCCTCTTCAGGGACAGTTTTTATTGACTGCTTTTTTCCTGTGTATGAAGCAGACTTTCATGTTTCTTTATGTAATTTTTTGTTGTTGTTGAAAGTGGATATTTCATAATGTGTCAACTCTGGAAATCGAACCTCTGCTCTGCTCTACCCACGGTTTATTATTGTTATTTGGTTTGTTTAGTGACTTTCCTGAGTTAATTTTCTGAAGTCTATATTTGGCCACTTAAATCTTTGTTCAGTTAGCTCAGAGGTCCCCTAATGATTAGACAAAGATTTCCTCAAATGCCTTGAACCAATAAGGGGCAGGAATTTCTTAAGGGCATAATTTTGTTTAGGAATCTGATTTTTTGATGGTTGAGGAGATTAAGTGTTTTAGCAGAATTTCCTAGTCTTTGTTTTCTAATAGAGGTTTGGAGTGGGGTGGTAGACAACATAAGTGGAAGAAGATGAGATAAGCAGCTAATTCAATTGCAGGATTGTTTTTAATGACTCATTGAGCACTAGGAAGCTTCACGGTGGGTATAGGATATATTGAATTTTCCAATCATATTGGAACGTTAAACTGTTCCGTGGCACATACTTTGTGTTATGCTACTAGAGTTTTATTTGAAAAGCTTGACTTGAATTGCCAGGTATTTTCAAACCTTTGGTAATCCACAAACATAATATTAGAAAAATAAGTGAGACTAGAGACTAGAGACTAATCAGCCAGAGAAAAAGAGTAAGATTAGTTCACTAGCATGGTTTCTGAATATGTGTATACTTACATGTACATTACATACCTTCACGCTTTTCCCTTTTCATTTCATAGATTTTTTAAAAAGCCTCATGGGACATATCACCATTGCTGGATGCCTGGTAAAATTAAGAAACCTGACTGCATGAGAGGCACTCTACATGGGCACAGGATGTTACCTGGAATCAGAGCACTAAATGATCCAGACTTTCCTTAATTCTAAGTGGTAAAAAGTCTAAGTACTTTTCATAACATTATTCTATACTGATAATTGTCATTATTTATTTGTATTTGTATTGTTAATATTCACAATTTATTTCCTAATTTAATATTTTAAAGTTCTAGTCCTAATTCTGGTGTTAGAAAATAAGTTTTAAATCTCTAAATATAGTATGGAAACGATTGCAGGTATTTGACTTTCTTTGTTAGAACACTAGCATTTACTTATTATAGAACCAATTGCTATGTCATAAAATTGATTTTCGAAGTCAAAATATCTAAATATTTATAAATATCTTCTGTAATAAAAGTGGGTTGGGTTCCTAGAATTTGAATAGACTTAAGTTCTGTCGTGAATTACAATTTATATATAACTGTTGTTTTTCTGCAAGTTTTAGTCATTTCAACCTGTTATAACTAATGTAATAAATGCAAGGCTGTGTCTCTATTTTGGATCATGTTTGTCATGAGATCAACCTGAAACAGTCCCAAATCTGGTCTGGTTTTATATGAGAATTTCTAGTCTAGTTTGATCTACTTTTCCTTCAAAGATTCTTAGAAGTTACAGCCATTTTTGAACTTCTCCTTAAGTGTACCCCCAATCCTCAACTGTGTGCAAGACCGCTACAGAATGAGTGCAAACTGGAAGTACTTGATAAATCTTTGCAGTATGGATTTTCCTGTTGAAAACAACCTGGAAATTATCAGGAAACTCAAGTCGTCAATGAGAGAAAACAACCTAGAAACTGGCAGAATGCCATCCAATAAAAAAAAAAAAAAAAGGCAGAATAGGTCCAGTCTCAAAATATTTAAGGCTGTTGATGCCAACTGATAGGTATTAATGGATCTGTCAGGAGCAACCCAGATTGGTAAAGATCTCAAGAAACAAGATCAAAAGCCCACCAACTACGGAGAGTTCAAAAATCATACCCTAGGTCTTCAACTGTGTTTTGCACCTTAATATACCTAAGAGGTAAAATGTTTATTGTAGGATATTCTAGCACATCCTCGTACTCGGCTTTAAAAAGAAAACTGGCATTAATATTAGAGACTACAGGTTTCGTATAATACTTCCTTTCTCTCTGATTGGCCCACTTCGTTTTTGTTTTAAATATCTGACCTCAGCAAAGGGGGGACAGTCTTTGAGCCTGAGAAGATGTCATGAAAGTCTATATTTATATGTATCATTTCTATTTTTCTTTTAGTTCTCGTCTTCACTTCAAGATGCCTTTGTGCTTCTCATAAGTGCAAACTGACAACACTCAAGGCCACGACAGAGGGAAAATCATTACTACTGGAAGCCTAGAAGCCTGCCCTTGATAAAAGAAAGACCCTGATTGTTGTTTGAAATGCTGAGGAAGTTGCTGCGGAGGAGACTTTTTTCTTATCCCACTAAATACTACTTCTTGCTTCTTGTTTTTTCCCTAGTAACCTTCTCTGTTTTAAGAATTTATCAAAAGCCTGAATTTGTCAGTGTTGGACATTTAGAGCTGGTTGGAGACAATCCTAGTAGTAATATTAATTGCACCAAAGTTTTACAGGGTGATGTAGATGAAATCGAAAAGGTAAAGCTTGAGATTCTAACAGTGCAATTTGGAAGGCGCCCTCGGTGGACAGCCTATGACTATATAAACATGACTAATGATTGTACTTCTTTCATCAAGAAGCGCAAATATATTGTAGAACCCCTTAGTAAAGAAGAGGCAGAGTTTCCAATAGCATATTCCATAGTGGTTCATCACAAAATCGAAATGCTTGACAGACTCCTGAGGGCCATCTACATGCCTCAGAATTTCTATTGCATTCATGTGGACAAAAAATCAGAGGATTCCTTTTTGGCTGCGGTGATTGGCATTGCATCTTGTTTCAATAACGTCTTTGTGGCCAGTCAGCTGGAGAGTGTGGTATATGCATCATGGAGTCGAGTCCAGGCCGACCTCAACTGTATGCAGGACCTCTACAGAATGAGTGCAGACTGGAAGTACTTGATAAATCTTTGTGGTATGGATTTTCCTATTAAAACCAATCTGGAAATTGTCAGGAAACTCAAGTCATTAATGGGAGAAAACAACCTAGAAACTGAGAAAATGCCATCCAATAAAAAAGAAAGGTGGAAAAAGCATTATACAGTTGTTAATGGAAAGCTGACAAACACTGGGACTGACAAAATGCAACCTCCTCTTGAAACACCTCTGTTTTCAGGCAGCGCCTATTTCGTGGTCAGTAGGAATTATGTGGAGTACGTGCTAGAGAATGAAAGAATCCAAAAGTTTATGGAGTGGGCAAAAGACACATACAGCCCAGATGAGTATCTCTGGGCCACTATTCAGAGGATCCCTGAAGTCCCAGGCTCACTGCCCTTAAGCCATAAGTACGACATGTCCGACATGCATGCAATTGCTAGGTTTGTCAAGTGGCAGTACTTTGAAGGTGATGTTTCCAAGGGCGCCCCCTACCCACCCTGCAATGGTGTCCATGTACGTTCCGTGTGTGTTTTTGGAGCAGGTGACTTGAACTGGATGCTGCACAAGCACCACTTATTTGCCAACAAGTTTGACACAGACATCGACCTCTTTGCTATCCAATGTTTGGATGAGCACCTGAGACATAAAGCCTTGGAGACATTGAAACACTGACCATTCATTGTAGGCAACTTTAGATAATAAAAATGCTACACGAGATGTACCCCCATCTGATTCTTCTGCCCTGTTAATAAACATCAGGAAAACTGTAGGAGGTGCTCTTTGGACCAGGGACTTGAACTCTTTATGTCTGAGAAGCTACATGGTTCTGCAAAGCACATTCCGTTGGAAAGTCTATAGAATTAAATGTTGACTTAGAGTTAACATGAGGCCAGGTTGCGAGGCATTGTAGGGAGAGATGGCCCAGGCGGCCTGGGAAGAGTCCAAATGCAAAAGAGCTCAGGGACTTAACAAAATGGTAAGATTTGACCTGTGCCAAAATTACTTTGAGAGCTTTAAATATGACAGTTTTCTTGCTTGGAATAAATTTACAGCAACAACTAATCATAATGATGTAATTTATATTGTAGGTTATATTTGTTGAATAAGAAATTTGACTTTAAATGATTCTTGTGAATAATTTACTTTCTGCTGTAACATTGTGTTGTGTAGTGTATCTGTGTATGTCATCTCAGGGAACTTGAAAAAAACAGGCTTGACTGAACATAAATGTTTCTGACTTGTTTTTGCTTCTACCAGTGTACATGTTTTTAAAAATAACAGAAAGGGACATTTCTAGTTTAGTTGATTCTATGAATCATCTTAGATTATTAGAAAAGGTATCTTAGATTATTAAAAGAATTAAGATATCTTTATTATCATAGTTTCTATAATACTCAGTTTTCCAAATATTTATCTCTTTACTTCTCCCAGTCTCCCCAAACCTCCCTATCAAGCTGTATAAGAACTTGTTTTCATAGTGCCCCACATAACTGCCTCAGTTCTCTTATATGACCCAATTGACAGTAATTAATGCAGAGAACTAAGAAAGAGTGAAGTAGGTACGGAGAGGGGAGGAGAAGGAGTCATATTTAGACAGTTTTTGAGGCTTGTAATGAGTATTAAAATCCAGTGATTGGCACTATTCCTAGAATTTAAGGCCATTGCTCTTTCCTTGTGTCCAACCTCCCAGGGTCTTGCATCCTGATGTGACCTGTGTCCATTTGAAAGGAACAGGCTTCTGCTGTCCTTGCTTCTTCATGTTACCTGCCCATTGGTTGGTCCTTAGCCCTTGGTTTTAAGTTTCCTTCTCTCTCAGAATGTATGAAGAGGGAAGAGGCATGCTGTTCCGAACACATGGTGTACCTAAAGGCCTGGGAATCCAAAAGGGACCCTTAAGTTTGAGACAGATTGTTTCAGTGTTGGTATTATTCACAGCATGTGGTTTTATTCTACTTTTCCCCCAAAAGAAAGATGATTTGAGGTTGCTATGCTATTGTTTCATTTCATCTCAAAGTAAATGAATATTTAAAAAACAAAAACAAAAACCTTGCCTTTTTGCTAATACTATTTAGCCAAAGATCTAAAAGGAAATGTGAAGCTTTATCATTGAGCTGAGACTTTAAACTAAACAAGGATCAAAACCATGTGCTTTATTTTTAAAGCATAGGCAACTTAAGTGGTACATGAGAAATTCATAATATCAGACAGTTTTCAGGCCTTCAACTGAGAAAACATTTTTATTCCTCAAAATTAGAAAACATTTTCATTTTATGGAGAGCTTTGTTATACTCATTCTTCCTCATGAAAGTTTTGTTTTTTAAAATATTATCATTTGTAAACCTGCAAGTCAATGGATTGCTGTGTTTTGCATGATTTGATATGGCAGCTTTGAAAACTCAAGAGATGATGTCAATGAGGGTGTTATATGCTTAGTGTTCCATCTCTATTGCTTTCTAACCCAGTGCATTGTTTTAATGCATGTCAGATATTTCTCTCATTCTTTTAGCAGAAAGATTTTACCTATAAGATAGGGCATTTTTTTTTTTTTACCCCAAAACACTGTGAGATTCAGTGACATGTACTTTATGTCCATGACTTGTATTTTTACTTCATTCATGGTGTCTCAATTTATGAACATATTTTTCATTTTTCTGTTGAAAAAAATGCAAATCAACAGGAAAGTTAAAAGCAATAGTACAGAGAACGCCATATAACTTTCACCTGGAGTGACTGGTTATTAACATAATGTCCCCTTTACTTTAAATTGCATGGATTTTTGAATTAGGAAAATCAAAAATAAAAAAAAAATTTAGTTTACATATGTCCAAAGTTGTCATTCATTTCAACACTCTGTAGTTTGGTTGCATCCAATTTACATTTAAATTGGCAGGTTTTGAGGGATTTTTCTCCACAACAGATATAAAAATAGGACTTCAGAGGCCATTTCCTCAAACATCACATTAAAACTGGATCCATTACCTTCTGTGTAGCTGTGGTACCTCCTCTTTCTAGAATGGCACTTGTTGAGATGTGTCTGAACATTACCTTATTGCTAAGACCTGTTATAGGGATTATATAGAATTTATTTATCGGAATGCTTATTTTTATACCTTTCAGTTTAATTGAAAGCAAATGAAATTTATACTCCCAGGACAAGCAATTTGAAAAGTCAAAAAGTTGGTTTCCAGTGGAAGCCCATAGTACAATCAGGAGGTAGCAAAACACAAGTTATTTTGGAAAGATAAATTATTTAAATTGTTTCATATATGTCAGTTATTAAACAAATTTCTTTTTACTGTCATTTAAGATCTTTTGTAGGGAATTATTAGAAATTATTCACAAATCTTTAAACAAACTAATTTTTTGATGGAAGGATTATTCTAGTTAATGAAGTACTGCAAAAAGATTTAATATTACTTATTAAGGACAAGTTAACAAAAATTGTTCTTTTATAGACAATTACCTAGGCTCTTCCCAGCCCATGGTAGATAGCTATTCAGCCTTGCAAATGTGAAGTATTGTCTCTAAACCTGTTTTATTATCATTCGTCAAGTACAATTCACTTAAATGACATAAATGGATTTTCTTTTGTAGTTATTTGGGGAGGAGAAAGCCATGTTTCAGTTTATTTTATTTGTAGTATCAGCTGAATTGGACTTTTCCAATTGCTTAGGAAAAATAAAATTTCTCATTGTGTTACATATAAAATATATACAACACGGTTTCATGGAAAACGTGGTTACCTTAAGTTTTACTCTTGAATGTGGGCATGAATGCATTTGGAACATACCATATACCACCATTAAAATCAGCCATTCAGAAACCAATGCCTTATCTCCACAAACTTTTCTTTAGCTACCAGCACTCAAATATTAAATTTAGTAGTTGCTGTGGTACTTTGTAACCAACTAGTGTTGTTTGTGAATAGTGCTTAAAAATATAAGATTAATTCTCCAGGCAGAATAGTCTGTGAGGAAGAGGGTGTGGCAAGGGCAGAAAATTTAACACAAATTATACAAAAAGATTTGGACTAGGCACTGAGAAGAATGCAATTTTATAGCCAGTTGTGCGTTCTAGGTCATGACTAGCTTCAGCCTGTCTGCTGAGGGAAGAGAGCAGTTTTCCAGTAAGGTTTTCTACTCTGGCCACAAATACTAACAGTATCCATTACTTGCTGTGGTTTGCTTGTGGAGGGCACAGCTGACGGAAAAAGGAAGCCCCTCCCCATCAAATATTCTGTGCTACAGATGTCCTCTCACCTCACCTGATAAACCCTTCTGGATGCGCTTTAGCCCCATTTTAGATGAAACAGACTAGAAAGTAGAAAAAAACTTGATTGACCTCAGATCTTTCTCAAAAGCTTTAGAGCTTTACATATCCTTTATAAGCCTGCTTGTCTAAGATTTTTAATATCTGTTTTCAGGGCTTGTCATCAGAATATTGATTTAATATTTTTTGATGCAAAAAGACCCAAACTAGAATAACGTAGAACTATTGGGAAAGAAAAGACTTTATTACTGCAGATATGATTGTCCAAGTAAAAAGCTCAGGAATCTCATCTCAGAATTAATATGAAATAAGCTAATATCTCCAGATACCAAAAATTAATGGTTTTTCCATATTTAAGCCAAAAAGATAGTTTTAACATAATGAGACTACATTACCTTTCATCTTAGCAACAAGTTCTAAAATGCGTTGGAGGCCCAAGTCAGGCCTCCCCAAAATATCCCACTTTGGCATATTGATTACTTTGAAATAAAGTTGATAAGCAGCTGGTGCTAGAAGGGCACCCTGACCCTCCCTTGTCACCTGAATGCAGGTAATCTGTGTAAAAGGTTTCCTCCCCACACCTGAAGACCGCCCTGCCCCTTTAGGGTATTAAACAACTCAGAGCTGAAAAGTCTATATAATCAAATGATTATAGATATAAAATGAATTAGCCTTATAATAAATTCCCTCTTAAAACCATATATTAATTTTTAGTTCCTCATCCTGTAATAGTCCCATCTTGCCATTAAAGAAAGCAGGCAAATTTGATTCAAATGGGAATCAAATTTATTGATTTGTATGGAACCTAAACTCTTGTAATTCTTTGGCACCCTGTAGTCCCAAATTTGGCTACTGTTCTCACTCTAAGTTTTGCTAATACAGCCTGGTTTATAGTAAATGACCTCTACTCAGCTTTCTTTTCAATCCCTTTGCACCCCAGCTCACAATTTCTTTTTGTATTTACATTTAAACGGAGACAGTTAACATGGACTTGCATAGCTCAGGGATATTGTGAGTCTTTCTCAATATTTTTCTAAGTTCATAAAGCCAACTTAGATTCTATAACCTTTTCCTTAAGCTTCATGCTACTACAATATACTGACCACCTTTTGCTCTGTAATCAAATGGAGCAAGGAACTCTTAGAAATTCCCTCACTCTCTTAAAGGCACTAGCTGAACTAGGCCATAAAACCTTCAGATCTAAACTTCAATAAGTGCCGACAACTGTTATTTACTTAGGACATGAGATATCTTCGGGGCATTCAAAAACACCCTGAAACACCTAGAGTCAGTTTTGTCCATCTCTCTCACCCAAACAAAAAACTACCCACAGGTACATAAATTTTTAGGAGCAGCTAGCTACCGTCATCGATGGATTCCTAATTGCGCAGGCCTTGCTAAACCTCTGTATGCCCTTCTCCCAGAGCCTATTTCCTAGTTTTCAGGGGCATTAACCTCCTCTGAAGCCTTGAAATCAGCTCTGGCCATATCCCTCAACTAAGACAAACCATTATACAGCCATGAAAGTACTGGGATTGCTGTAAGCATTCTAGGACAATCTTTTGCCTCTCATATATGTCCTACAGCACATTTCTTGTGCCGAATCAACCCTATAGCATTGGACATGCCCCCATATTTACCTGTGATAACCACAGCTACCATCTTGATTGACAGGGCCAGTACTCTAACATTAGGCTCCCCATTTGTCTCTATGTTCCCCCTTGCTGTGACTACAATCTGCAAGATGATAGGATGCAACCTCTCTCCACACCTGTTACAGAAAACCAATGAACAGGCACTTATAACTAACCCCTTCATCATCTTGCATGGTTTCAATCCAGCTATTTTACTACTCCTTTTTGATAATGGAGAGCTCCACTCTATTCCACATGATTTGCCTTTGTAGGAAAGAAAAATGGTTTTCCTTCTACCCTTCTAAGTCCTTCTGGCTAGTCTAACAATCAAATTGGCA